GGCCGAATTCTCCCACCGAAGCGGCTGTTATTTGGCATTTCGAATTCATGGTGAATAACATACATTCTTCCTGAAAATTGTCAACGTGGGCTCGTGTTTTCACTAAGCTTCCACACAAAGGTTTCACTGAATGTTCGGTATTTCGAGGTCCCTAATACAGCTTCCAATCCTTCTCGGATTAATTAATACAAAATATTAGTTTCTGCACTGATACACTATGTGTCAAATCTCATTTAACACGAAAAGCTTTCACCAACATTTTGGAATTTAAGTTGTAAAAGCTTTAATGTAAAGCTTATTTTCTTTTCAACTTAGTTATTTTCTACCTAAAAGCTTCAAAGAATTATGACCCGTAAAAGCTTAATCATCTATGTATATTTTATTTGGAAAATCTACTTGTAGTGATGAATAAGGAAAATTCGGTAGAAATATTTGCCACTAGATGGCGCAACTGCATTACATAAAAATACCAAATTTCACGCTTCTTGTAAACCGTTGACAATGGACTATAGAGGAAATCGAGCGTAGTGTGTAAAGGTATTATATTTAAGGTGAACACACTTTTTGGACTATATATACGAGCTATATGATAAAGGCCAGTGTATCAAGATGATCCATATAGCCCAAATGTAGGTTGTCAACTTGAAGTTAGGATTTCGTTATATAAAAAATATCAGAGAGTCAAGGCGAAAGGTAAGAAGTCTACGAAGGTTTGATAACTATAAATAGTCCAGCTGAACGCAACAGATCATTTAATAATAATCTAAGGACATGTAGCCTTTACAGATGAGTTATGAGCAGGTAAAGAGGGGCTGGAGAGAGTTGAGAGCTGAAACTATTAAGCCATTAATTCATCTATAAATACTATTTATCATTTAGGTAATCTGTAAAGAATTTTGTCCTTCGGAGACTCACTTAAAATAGCATAATTTTAGGTCGCCGTTAAACTCATTTCTGGTTTGCATCTCCCTTTTAATGACTTTATAATAGATACTGTCAATCTTTACGTAGTAAATATTCTGTTTTTCAGCTCGTCTGTTTTTCAGCTCACAGGATTTATTCAGCTCTGGTATTAAGCTCTTCTATTAAAAAATTCTTTCGGTTTGATTATAAGGATTCTTCTGCTCTTTAGTACGTCTATAAAGGCTTCCTAGCTGTTAGGTGGACGGCAAAAAATATATCCCTGCTCGTCAGCAAAAACTTCTTGGTCAACAAGCTTAATAAAGGCTCCCTACATCACCTTCTCGACAGAGACCCTTCAGATTATCTAGAAAGGATCTCTTCAGGCGCTGTCTTTCATCTCTCATATAAATATTTATTTTTTAAGATGCAGACGTTTTGCTTCAGTACGTCATTAAAATCTACCTTATGCTCCTCCAAATGGACTCGGTTCTTTAAATACTTTATATACTATGTAGAGACTTAATTATGTAAAAATTTTCTCGTCTAAATTGGCTCCTTCCTCGTCTATAAATACTACAAGATCGTCAGACCTTCCATAAGCTTAAGCTTTAGAATCTGTGTAGAGGATATGGAGAGCCATAGAGTTTTTGTAGACGAATTGAAGAAACAGATGGACTCTATCGAATGCATACCTTTGTGAGATGTGGAAAACATTACAAACAATTCGTGGCGTGTTTATATCCTGACAAAATAGTACAAAAACCGACGTCTTAGTTTACTTACTTAGCTGGCTTATGACAGAACGGTTGTTCCATAAGACGAGCTTAAAACAGTTGTCCAGTCGCGTCGGTCTTGTGAGCATCTCATCCTATTTGAAAGACAAATTTCCGAGATGTTGTCTTCTACTTGATATTTCCATCGGATTCGTGAACTTTCCCCTTTTGCGTGAACCATCAGTTGTTTCGCTTTTATATGCCTTTCGATTTTATATGTCTTATAGTCCATATTAGCATCTGTTGGTCAACACTATTCTCCTCCAGATTTCAAAGCATACTTTATTAGTTTTGTATTAATTTCTCTTTCGAGATGAGCTACATGCTCGGAGTTGCAATGTAAAGGAAAGCCAGAGAGATACTATAGTCCCACCACTATGCGATGCGTTTCGCCGTTGGTTAAGCGGCTCATCAGGCATATTGGACAATGTGACTTACAAATGTCTTTACTTGATAAGTTGTATTTATATCGACTATTGTTGCGAAATTGCATCTACGAATTAAATTCAACCGTGTCAAGGTTCGGGCATTTGGCACCACACCAGAACATTCCTTTTCAGAGCAGATTTTTCTTGTAGTAACGGACTTTTTTTTCCATACAGACTACAATAACCAACAACAACAATCAACAGATGCCATGGAAACCAGGGTTCAAATCCCAGCCGGGCTCAAGCTGAAATTTCGAGTTTGTTTTTATGCCTTTTTAGGGCGAAGGATCATGTACATGTTTTTTTTATTAATTTCTCTTTCGAGATGAGCTACATGATCGGAGTTGCAATGTATCAGTTAATGTTATCCTGCATAGCCATATTAGTTTTGCAGGAATGCCAAACGCAGACATGTCTTTAAACACCTCTGGGCGGATAGGACTGTCAAATGCGGCTTTATATTCGACGAATAGGTGGAATGTGCCGATGTATTTTTCGTCGGTCTTTTCCAGTATTTGGTGCAGAATGAAATTCTAGTCAATGGTGGATTTGCAGGGTCTGAAGCCGCATTGGTTCCAATAATGTCAATGACCATTGGCTTCAGTCGTTCACACAGCACGCTGGATAGCACTTTATATCCGATGGAAAGGACACTTTTTTTCTATAGTTGGTCGTCTTGTCTCATTTTTGTGCACGGGCACAGGATGCTGAGTTTCCAATCATTGGGCATGCATTCCTCTAGCCAAATTGTAATTATAAGCTTGTGCATGCTCCTGACCATCATCTGATCACCTGTCTTAAATAGTTCGGCTGGTAATCCATCGGCACCTGCTGCTTTATTGTTCTTCAGCCGATTGATTGCTATTCCGACCTCATCTTGGCTAGGTGGAATACACTCTATTCCGTCATGTCTTATTGGTTCTGGGGTATCTTCTTTACCGCCACTATTTGATACCAGAAGCTTTTCAAAATGCTCCTTTCAGAACCTCAACACGCTATCTGTATCTGTCACCAGGTTTCCTTCTTCATCTCTTCAGCAGGATGTTCCTGTACCAAAACCTCATAATGGTTGGCAAAATTTTCGGACTTCATTCTGACTCCTGTACATCTTGATTTGCTCACGTTTTTCTTGTTCTTTCTTCTTTTTTTTGAAAATACGTTTCTCGTCTCTCCTTTTCTCCGATAATTCTCCATTGATTTCGTGTTGCTACTGCCTGCAGTGTTGCCCTATACACTGCGTTTTTCAACTCAGTAGCATTACGAGACTTAGTTAGATTTTAAATTAAAGTAATCGATGATATGATACTTTAAAGGACCCCTTGTCCTTTATGTCGTTAATAGAGGCTCTATTTCCCTTCTAATATAAAAACTAATACGCCCTTCATTGCATCTATAGAGAATCTTTACTGTTCCCTTCTTCTATTAAGACTGCCAGCTCTACATCTCGCCTTCAAAGACGCCATACCATTCAGCTCCTCCATAAAGACTCTTTGATAGATAGGCCAACATAACGATATAGAAAGTATAGACGAGTCGAAAGATGAGACATTTTTATACCCTTCACCACTCTGTGGTACATGGTATTATGTATTTGTGCATATGTTTGTAACAGGCAGTAGGAAACGAGACAGACACATGGTTACTTTTGAGAATATGCATAGAATCACTTTCTAAGTCGTTCCACATTGAGAATAGAATGAAGTTTTTGCGGTTTGTTGAAAATGGTGCAGATGCAGACATAGCTTCCATATATATTTTTCGAACGGGTGTATGATTGGTATTAAGTTTTTTAAGACATACCGAATAGCGTGTTTCAAGTTTGCTTTAAATCTGTTTGTATCAATTTGTTCCATTGTACGCAAACGACTCAAAATCTGCCCGCATTAAATGAATTTTAGTGTAGGTTGAAGAAAGGCATGTGTATGGACTGATGTTAGTCGGGTCACTTATAGATAAAGATCACATATTTAAGTTCACGTTGAATATACCCAAAGTGGTGAAGGGTATCATATAGTCGGCCCCGTCCGCAGGGAGCATATAGAATTGCTTTGTGTTCAGGGGAAACCTATAACAGCCGGATAGTTCTTATAGACTAGAATTAGCTGTAAAGAGTCTGTGTAGAGGGGCTGAAGTGTCAGACAGTTTTTATAGACGAATTGAAGAGACACACAGTCTCTATAGAATTCAGACTTTGCTAGATCTTGAAAACATATTTTCTTCCAAATTCACGCCTTAGTTAGATCTTGAAAAAATATTTTAAAAGATTTCATGCCTAATTTTTTCTTCATAAATTAAAAAATATCAATACCCTGTACTTTCAGCTCGTATTTAAAGACCCCATATTTGCAGCTTCTATTAAATAATTGACTGCGATTAAATTCAAATACTTTTTATTATAAATATTTGATTTTTATTTATTAATAAATATTCAAATTATTTGTCAATAAATTTAACTTATAGGTTATGTTGAAACAACTCGTATCATTACTATAATAATTTTTCAAAAATATGTTTAAGATGTTTGGTTTTTGACTAGATTAGTTTCAATATAAGGGGGGGGGTCTTATAATCTTATAACTAAAAATTGTCTTACAAATAACCTTCCAATAAAATTGCGAAACTTAAAATAAAAAGAAATTCTTGAAAAATATTTGTACACATTTTTCAAAAAAAAAAAAAAAAAAAAAAACTATTCGTTTACCAAGTACTTATAAAAACTAAAGAAATTTGGTAATAAAAATGGGAAATCATTTGATTTTGAATATTCAGTTTTTGTTATTATGGTCCATGTTGGTGTTATTGATTTGGAAGCATATTTTTTTTGGATTTTCGTATTGGGTTTAAGGACCTTCGGTTATGCCAATCTTTCTCTCCTCGCTATATTTTCGGATATTTCATTTTAAAATCGTGTAATTTTACTGCTTTCAGGTGAGTCGGAAGGTGTGAGGGACTCTTGTACGGAATGGGCCGGACTATTACCACGATTTACACGAGTGGTATTTTGTCGCTGATTCCCAATGTGGGCATTGGCCTGACGTAAATTGGCAAAGAATTGTTGACGCCGAGGAGCACCACCTCCACGCAGTGGTAAGGTGGGAATTTCACTGGGTGACTGATGATGCAACTCATCCTGGGATATGTTACGCATGGCGGGATTGACACATTCATAAACACTCTGGAAGGGAATATAAGGAGAATTAGGTCGTTTATAATATTTTCAATAATGTGTCGAAGTTACCCACCTGTTCCGAAGAGTATTGATGATTTTGAGCAAAAGCCAAGGAAGTCAGCGATGGTAGGGCCTGGGCAATATCCGAACGTTCTATGCCTCGGACAATCAAAAACGTCCTTGGTATCAATATACCCACGAGAATGGCCCACCCTGATGCCTGTAGACCCAATGGCAACGCCGCATCCCGCATTTCATCTCCAAAGAATGACATGGTGATCCAAACAATCCATATAATCAGCATCAGCACGGAACCAATAACAATTAAAATACCTTCCCGATAATTTCTCTGTGAACGATATATAAACGGCACCAGGGCAATAATACTTAACAACAGCAGCATATCATAGGCCAATAGCCCAAACATCCAATAACCATAGTACAAATTCTCACAGGACACCTTATCCGAGGCAATATGCATCGCGACCAGCAGTTGAATCGACATACCCAATTGCACGAGAATACTAAAGACACATATCACGGCCTGAATATAACCATTGACATGGGAGAGGAAACCACCCTCGGAACCAATTGAAGCTAACATTACAGAACGGCATAACAGCAGAGAGAAGACGAAGCAGTAAACCAAAGTCAATATGAACACCCTCACCGCACACAATGTATTCAGGGTCTCAGCATCCTCAATGGTCACATGGGAATTACGATGTTCTCCCACATACTCAATTGAGAAGGGTATAAACGAGGTAAACATCAGCAACAAGGACAGCAGCAACAAAATCGATGTAACCGGATTTCCTTCAAAAACATCACCCAAGGAGATCCTCACCACAATGAACACCAATATGGCCAGGGTACAAATCAAACCCAATATGGCCGCCGTCATACCCGTGGCCACCCATGTATCTGGTTTTATACGCCAAAACATAACCGATTCTCCATCGAAGAGAAATGGATATCGGGAATTCTCTCCCGCCGTATATTGACACGTAAATACATGACCAAATTTCGTCTTCAATTCCAGACTGGTGTGATTATCCCGATTATAGTGATAATAGGTGGTGATATTTGTCACAAAGTTCTGCGCTGCAATTTCCCTTAACTTCATTTTATCCTCCTCGTAAATTATGACTGGTGGTGTTAGATCCTCCACCTGCTTTTGGAACATTTGAAAATTCATCATGGCCCCTAGGTGGCGCATACGCAGCAAATCCAACAGCTCGGCAGTGTCATGAACGGGTAGGCGATTTTCCGGCTTCTCCCAATCTCCAACGAATTCCAGTAGACCGATGCAAGTTTCCAGGGCAAAGAATTCTTCAATACGTTTACAATTCCTTGTCATTGATGATTTTAGCCATCGTGCCAGTTCAACAATAGGTCGGGCAAAGGCCAACACCCTGGAGGGAAGTATTGTCTTGCCTATCAACGGTTCATCCAACGTCATTTGGGTTACATTTTTATCCACTACTCGCAAATCGATTTCATTCTCCATTAGTATGTAGGATTTGTTGGGTAAATCTGGAAGGAGAGGAGATAGGTTGATTAGATAGGGTTTCAAATGTAACTTCGAGAATTATAGGAAGAGAATTGAGAGGGAGCTGACGGGTACAGTCAGACTTTGTAGACATGTTTAAGGGCTCGGTTATTGAGCTGATGGGTTATAGAGCCTTTTCAGAAGAAACATGTTGAAGGTGTGTTAGTCGAGCTGATGGACCATAGAGTCTCTTTAGATGAGCCGACTTCCCAGGAATCTCATTTATAGGCGATCTGAATGGCTGGGAGTATATATAGATTGTTCGGAGGCTCTTTGAGTACATATAGATAAGCTGTAGTTGAATGAGGACCTGGAGGGCCAAGGATTCCCTATAGGAAGAGCTGAAGTAAGTTATTAAAGACGAACTAAATGGAGTCTCTATAAACGATCAGAAGGGATTCTCTGTAGACAAGCTGAAAACAGTCTCATGGACGATCCAAAGTCTTTATGGGCAAACTGAAGGGAGACTTTATAGACGAAGTTAAGGGAGTCTTTATACACAAGTTGAAGGGCTTATCTATAGACGATCTGAAAGGTGTCCTTGTAGGCGAGCTGGAGGGAGTATTTATAAACGAACTGAAGGTTGATTCTGTAGACGAGCTGAAGAGAGTCTATTATAATAGCTGAAGGATACCTTTATAAGCGAGTTGAAGGGAGACTTTATAGATGAGCTGTTCAGAGGAGCTATAGGAGGGTGAGTGAATTTCTGTAGAGTGAGTGAGTTTCTTAAGGGCTTATCTATAGACGATCTGAAAGGTGTCTCTGTAGGCGAGTGGAGGAAGTATTTATAAACGAACTGAAGGTTGATTCTGTAGACGAGCTGTAGAGAGTATTTTATAATAGCTGAAGGATACCTTTATAGACGAATTAAAGGGAGACTTCATAGATGAGCTGGAGGGCGAGTGAGTTTCTGTAGAGAAGCTAAATGGTCAGGGTGTCTTTAGAGACATAATGGTCAGTACAGACAAACTGAATAATCAGAGTGATAGTGCTGAAGGGTCAATTAGTCTCCGCCTACGAGATTTCGGGCCAAATAGTCTATTTGAATGGTAAGGAATCTGTAGAAGATCTGAAAGAGTCAAAGTCAGAGTTTCTGTAAATGGGCAAGGCATCGCTATAGAAGCCCACAATGCTTTGTGGACAATTTTGAAGGTTAGTGAGTTATATTGCAAGACTGATGGATATAAGAGTCTCTGTACTAGTACAGTGAACGGGTCAGAAATCCACTTAGAAAATCTTAAGAGCCAAATGAATCTCCATTTAAGACCTGAATGGCCCGAAATTTTATATTGAGGAGTTCATTGGTTAGGCTGTCTTTATGGAATAGTTAAATGACCAAGGGATCATAATAGATGGATTAAATTGTCTAAAGAGACGAAGTTTATTATTCGATGAGTCATGGATTTATCTTGGAAGGGCCAATGAATCTAACGGGATAAACAGTCTGGAGCAGGGACGTACGCAGGAAGGCGGCCTGGAGTACCCTGGAGTATCGACTCACCTATAATGACTTCCTTTATCTCCTCCAAGTTTCCTAATTTAAATACTTTTTTTACTTACCCAATATAAAATGTCGTTCCACCCTCTCCGTGGGCACAGCAAATATCGTTCCATTCTCCTTGAAATGGGAGACCATTTTATTTCCGAATAGGATATAAATATTATTGTCACTCTTGAAATGCATGAGGCACATTTCCTCCTTTCGCGTTGCATCCATAAAATCGTTATAAACATTTAAGTTTTCAGTTAAAATCTCAACGGAAGCAATTGCATCACCCCATGGCATTTGATGCAGTAAATGGGCTACCTTAGGGAACAGATCTTGGCGTATGGAAGGTATTGGCCAAATATTATATTCCAAATCATTAATAAAATTTTCCAATTCCTTATAGTAATCGTAATCAATGAAAATTCCAATGGCATGGGTTATACACTGTTGTTGATATTTAATCTCCTGCAGGAGGATATTTTCCAAGAGGTCATCGGAACTCAGGGTAACAGCGCGAATGCCTATAAAACAGATACAAATTAGTCTTTTATTCTTCATAAGGCTTCCCAAAATCGACTCACCAATTAAAAAATCAGCTTCCAGCAGATTAGCCACATTCAGGCGATTTATGACAAACATTGCCGATGCCGGGTCGGTGGTCATAACACTCAACATCAAATCTCCCTCAATGGTATGAACGAAATCTTCTTCAGCCTTTACCACGGTTAAATCTTCTTCAGAATTTGGCACAATAGCTTGAATGCCATGGATACAGATATCACTAATGCTGGTTGTGGTTTCAAATAGGGTTGGATCTTCTGTTGTTGATGTGGTCGTAGTGGTTGTTGTTGTTGTCGTCGTTGTGGTTGTTCGGACGGTAGGTATTGAAGCTGGTGGCCGCCTCGTTGATAATACTCGAGATTTGGTGATTTTTGGCGTTTGTTTGGCTACTGGTGGTGGAGATGAAGCTTTTGGCGGTGCCGGTGATGCTTCCGTACTTGAACCCTCATCCTCTCCAATGGTTAGGGTAAGAAGACAACAGAGTAGAAGGATGCAAATATAGAATACTAGAAACAAATAAAGAAACATTGTTGCTTAGTGCCTTAAAAAATATTAATTAAAAAGTATAGGCCTATTGTATTCCCTGAAAAAAATATTAATTCAACCAGTAAAGTCGGGCGGGGCCGACTATATGATACCCTTTACCACTTTGGCTATATTCAAGAGATGCATCCTAACAGACCTCGCATTTTTGAATGACCATTGACATGAAAGTGGACTATTTTAAATATATGATCTGTATCCATATTTGGATCGACTTAACCGAACGATTAATAACCGGGTACATTTGTAAATTTATATTAAGTCGGGTTTTTCGTTTATAATTCATCGAAATATTCACTTCCAACCCTATAAAATACGTATTTTTGATCAGCGCATTTAATCATGTTGTCTAGACTCTATACGACAACATAGAGTTGTATTTTGTCTGCAGGCAGGACAAAAATCGGACGAAAATATGTATGGGAGCTATTTCTTAATTTGAACCGATTTCAATAAAACTTGGCACACGTTAGGGTCAATCCCACGGCGGCTGGTTCTATGTACCGGATTGACTCGGAGATGGACTCCGACCAGAGGCTGCCACCTCAACAACTACATGTACGTGTGCGTCATTTTTGTCTTGGGAGCGGCATTATATCCCGGAATGCCTGCTCCGAACCCTACTGGTTGGGATTGAAATTAACCCCGGACCATTGTTCTGTAGTGTTTGCAGAAACCGCATCCACCATAGATTAATCTCGGTGAGATGCAATGGATGTAGAGAATGGGTGCATTTTCGAGGTTGCTCTGGACTAAACAGGATCCAGTGGTACTGCGAAAGGAGTTAAGTCGCTTCATGCTGCGCTAGCACATCTTCCAGTGTGTCTCAGGAGTCTTCGTCCGATTCATCATCTCAATCGTCATCGCCGGAGTACGATACACCCCCACAGTTTCCTCAACAGCAAAACGCGCAGCATTTAACACCACATATTGCTGTTCCGCACCTAGAAAATGCATCGTTTTTGGAGTTCAACAACGATGGTCTTCGAAACAAAATCAGCGAAATTCTAGAATTTATGAGTCGAAGGAGAATAATGGTCGGTGTGATCCATTAAACCAAGCTAACCGAGAACTGTAGCTTGCAGCGTTGCGATGGTTACAACGTTGTTCGGAAGGACCGTTCCAGAAGTGGAGGTGGGGGACTTATATTCTTATTACACCATTCTGTCCAGTACAGACCTATCTCGCTTGAGACAGACTCTAGTGACCCATACATGGAATGTATGTGGGTAGCAGTCAAGTGTGGAACTACCGAGGTAGAGGTGCTCAATGTTTATATACCGCCGATGAATAGCTGTACACGCGTTACTTACCGGATATCAGTCCGCTTTTAGAAGGTAATAACCGCCTGGTACTGGGGGATTTCAATGCCCATCATGAGTTGTGGCATTCCGTCCTAGGTAATGACCAGAGGGGTACAGCGCTGGCTGAGTAAATTGATAGCTCAACATTTTGCACGGTTAATGAGGATGCCCCCACGAGGATAAGAGGAGATTGCCACTGCTCGCCAGACATCACCATTGTGGCACCGGGTCTGATAAATAACATAACCTGGCAACCCATTATTTCACTCGCCTCAGACCACCTTCCGATCATCGTCTCCGTCAACAGACCACCAGACTTTATATCCTCCGAAAGCCGAACATTCCTGAACCATGGGAAAGCTGATTGGCCTGGCTTCAGAGAGCTTACCAATCACCGCTTCAGAGAGCTGCCCACTCCACGGGTAGCTGTGAGGAATTTCCGGAAAATCATCGCTACTGCTGCCGCTCGCTTTATACCTGCTGGTCGAATACTTGAAGTAAGACCTAACTTCCCAGCAGAAGCAACGGTATTGGCTAATGGGCGTGATGAGCTCCGTCGTACTACCCCTGAGGACCTCAGGGTGCGAGAGCTTACCCTTGAAGTCAACAGATTAGTATGCGAACAAAAAAGGAAAAAGTGGATAGACCAATTGAAAGGAAGTATGTATAGACGAGCTGAAGGGAGTCTTTATGGAGAAGCTGAAGGGGGTCTTTGTAGACGAGCTGAAGGAAGTCTTTATAGACAAGCTGAAGGGAGTCTTTACAGACGAGATGAAGGGGGTCTTCCTAGACGATCTGGAGGTAGTCTTTAAAGACGAGTTGAAAGGAGTATTTATAGACAAGTTGAATGGAGTCTTTATAGACGAGCTGAATGAAGACTTTGTAGATGAGTTGAAGGCAGTCTTTTTAGACGACCTGAAGGTAGTCTTTCTAGAGAAGCTGAAGAGAGCTTTTATACACGAGCTGAAGGGAGCTTTAATAGACGAACTGGAGGGAGTCTTTATAGACTAGCTGAAGGTAGTCTTTATAGGTGAGCTGAAGGAGCTCCTAGACGATCTGGAGGTAGTCTTTAAAGACGAGTTGAAAGGAGTATTTATAGACAAGCTGAATGGAGTGTTTATAGACGAGCTGAATGGAGTCTTTGTAGATGAGTTGAAGGCAGTCTTTTTAGACGACCTGAATTTAGTCTTTCTAGAGAATCTGAAGAGAGCTTTTATACACGAGCTGAAGGGAGCTTTTATAGATGAGCTGGAGGGAGTCTTTATAGACTAGCTGAAGGTAGTATTTATAGGTGAGCTGAATGGAATCTTTATAGACGAGCTGAAGGGAATTT